GATTAAATTACAAGAAATGGGGATGCAACACAAATTACTGATCAAGCAGAAATAACTGAACATCTCTGATTGGTTAGACAGGTCAATCCTGCATAAAACCTTAAAGAAGTTAATATCTCTCTAAGTTTTGGAGCAGATTACTACAACAAAAATATTTGAAACAGTTACATACTGTAGCTTTAATTCTATATGTCAGCATGTTAGGTCTACAGCCAACAGTTATTTTCATCATTAAAATAATCTGATTATTTGTCAATAATTTAATTACATTTCCTCGGCAAGATCAACTTGATAACTTATTCAGCTGTTTACAAGTCACTTCTGATCTCTGAAATATCCACTGATCGCAGCCTCTGACTCCTACTACACTTTTGATCCGTATGTTTATTAAGGAAGCTTCTGTGATTCTATTTGGGCAGCAACTAACAATTATTTTCATTATTGATTACTCTGTCTGTTATTTTCTTGAGTAATCAATCAGCCATTGGGTCAATAAATGTCAGAACATTGTGAAAATGTCCACCCCAGAGTCCAGTGTGATCTCTTCAAGTTTCTTGTTTTTACAATAAACAGGTAAAAACCCAAAGATATCTATTTATTGTCACAAAAGACTAAGGAAACCAGAAAACACTCACATTTGAGAAGCTGAAACCAGAGAATTTAGACATAAAATGACTCCAACATGTTTAATTGATTATCAAAATAGTTGCCAATTACCTTTACATCGATCAACCAATTGATTAACCAGCTCTACAATCCATACACAGATGTATGCAATGGCAAATGTATATCCATGGGGGCCTCATCTCAAGTCACTGCCATGACAGCTAACATCACAATATCACAAGTAAAGCCTCCATGGCACAGTCCACCCTCACATCATCACAGGTTCCACCATTCACAGCCACTATAAACCTCTGGGGGGACAGATATTTTAATCATCATAATGTGCCCTGTCATAGTGCAAGAATCCTCCACAGTGATACTGATGACCTTGCAACCAGCCAGATATCAATCTCGCTGAACTCTGGGATGAACTTGGATGCGCCATAAAACGGACAACCGACTCATCAACCTTGGGCAGTTCTGAAAGGCAGTAATGTGCGCGTGGTCGGCTTTAACACTCAGACACTACGGCTGTTACCAGGGCCAGAGGTGGTCAAAGACAGTACTGAACTCTTTCTATTTGTATGGTCAGTATGTGGAGGAGGATGACTCTGAGATTGGAAGGAGCATTTTGACACCTGTACTTATTTCTTTTATGCCCTGTTTCTCTGTGGCAGAATGCTTCACTTTACCAGAGGACAGGCAGGTTTGCATTTCCAAGTGCATAAGAATGACATCTCCCATTTCCTGTTTTAACAAGACATTTCTGTTCTTAATGGAAATGGAACATAGTCTCACAATCTCCTCTTTAAACACCAGACACTAGATTTAGTTGACCACATCAGAAATGTTTAAAAATCCCTCCAAAGCAAACCCTGAATCTTTCATCTTTGAAATCTCCTGAAAATCAAAGTAACACCTGCACATCTCCCCTTGTAAGATCTACTGTCTTTCTTTACTCTCAGTCAATGAGCGTGACTCCTCTACATATCAGCCAGTCATAGTGTATATGTAAGTCCCTTGTTAAATATCCCAGTGCACTCTTGAACTGATGAGTGAGCCTACTGGGTCAGTTTGTCTCAAACCTATTATATGAGGCCATAAACAGGAGGGGGAATTGATATCCTGCCACTCAAGGAGGCAGTGTGGAGGTGGATGGGAGAGGACCTTAGGCAAGGCTGATGACTGTGTGATCTTTATTGATCTTTAATCCCAGTGGACATCAACACTGATGCCTTTCCTTCTTTTTAGATCACCTTTAACCTAGCTGTGAACAGTTGGGTTTTTTTTCTTGGAGATCTCTGAAAACAAAATGTTTAACCTTTTATCTAATACTGAATTGATGATCTCTGCAGAATGCAAGGATGAGGGGCACATTATGCTAAGATGCATTAGTGCCATCCTCAAATTCTTGGTAAAATCATGTTTGATCCTTCTCTAGTTGTGCTGGATGTTGGTTCCCTCTGCCCAGCAGCCAGGCTGGAGCTGGCCTTGCAGCTGTCCACAGTCCAGAATTACATAACAAGGCTGCATCATAAACACCACTCTAGCCACTTTGCACCCTCTCCACCATGACATCGTCACCCTGCAAAGGAAATGACAAGAGAACAAAGCTGGATTCCCTTTTAAGCAGGGGTTTTTGACCCTTGGTCCGCGGCCCGCTGGTGGTCCAAATACACTGCAGGTGATCCCTGATCACGCATTCAGTAATGTAATTTAACTCTAGGAATTTTTAAAACTAATTTCCATGTATTACTTGCTTGCGAATAATCGATTTCATGCAAATATATACAATTTAGAAAAGCCAAGGTGACTTTCAGGACTAAAATAGTGTCCATCCAGTGTAGCCTCCTCACAACATTGGTTTGCTTCTTAGTCAGAATGGTGGTCCTTGGGTCACAATTAGTTGAAAACCCCTGCTCTTAAGGGACAGACACACACTCCTCTCTTCTAAGTTTTGCTTACTGAGGACCAAGCTAATGAAGTAATGCAGTGCTGTAATTGATCATTTGCTTCCCCATTCCCACAGAACCTGTGGCCCCTTCACCTTTTTAAGCTTCACTATAACACATATGCTGCAAAGTGCTGCTCAACTGTAGGTGGTGTATACATGAATCAGGTCTACAGAATGACTGACCCAGTTTCCCAGCATGCTCTGCTCATTCAGTGTGTACCTTATCATGACTATAATGTGTGATGAACCCCTAACTGGGCAAACCTGAACATAAAAAACTATCATAGCTGAAAGAGTTACTTCAGGCTTAGTGATGCAAATGTTTCACCTCTGTACTTTGAATACCTATATTAAAAATTCAAACTTATTCCACAAGGTCACTGTGCGAAAAACATAAGTCAGAGTAACTGCAACAACATTTGCTAACGTGATATAGAAAAAAACTTTACTTAAAACCGTGTGCAAGAATGAAATGATGTGTGCAGGAAAATGCAATCTATTAATATTTAAACAAAAACTAGTATTTTAAGTGTAGCAGATGGGTTTTCTACAGCACTGACTGCTGTCTGATGAAACACAAAAGAAGGTCATTCCACTAACTGTGCAGAATTTAAGTGTAAAGGTTCCCTGTACTTTGTCAGTTTAGTCGGCTGATCAGTTCGGTCTTTCACATAACTGAGCTTTCACGTTATTTCACCAAGAACATGTGCAGTAGACTACAACTGCAGTCAAGTACACAAGATCACCTAACAGAAATGTCAGTGCACTGCGTAGAGAGGGTATAATGGATCACCACCGTGGTGATTACATGTAATGTCGAAACTGCACCCAAGAGACATGAGGTGTGAAGGCATTCAAAAACTGCTTGTTCTGTATTCCAAATAAATCACACAGATCATGGGTCAGTTCTGAAAACAACAGCACAGTCTAAGCTGTAATGTATGATTTTGTGGATCTACTGGTGTACTGGTGTGATTTAGAGCTGCACCTGGTTATTTAAAGAGATGAGAATTTGCTGTACTTCATCACATATACTATCAAAGCTCAGCGGGATCACTTTCTATCATAATACGAGCATGGTATTCAAAGAATCAGATTTGTTATCAGTCATATCCAGAGAGTACAATCCCCTCCAGTTTTCCTGTCATGCTCATGAGCTTCACAGTGGTGGACTGATTGTTTAGAAGAGAGAGGATTGATTTAGGGCTTCCGGGACATATATTTCAAGATTTATTTACTTTTATGGGGAGCAAATGTTTTCATAGTAAAGCCAAAGATGAAAACAGTAAAAAACTGTACCTCCACTGTTGTACCAGCAGCAGATTGTGCATCTGAAGGTCTGTGTTCATATAAAGGTTGTTTGATGGGGTACTGCGTTGTGTTTGTCCGCATCCACAGAAAAGCCAGTAATGGGGGTAACAGTGACTTTAGTCTCCATTGTTTTATGTCAGTTGCTAAGCAAACTAGGTCTGATATGACAGAACGCAACTCTCAGTGTGTTCCACCTACGCAAAACCTCGATCTTCACCAAGAACCCCATTATACAGTCTGTCATGCTAACAGATTGCACTCTGTGTTGTAAAAAACAATGCCTTCTTGTGTCCTAAAAGCATAATGTGGGGTAACAGTATATAAATCATATGAGGAGGCTTTCCATCTTGCCTCTGGCAGTGTGTGAAAGTCCAGTTAATTAACCTCCAGTAATGGGAAGCCTAATTAGAGCTGGGCAACCTTTAGAATTATTAAAACCACTCTATATGTAGTTCTGCAAGGGTGATATGGAGAAGGGCAGCCTGCCCCTGGCCCACAAATCAAGTATATCCTAAAAACAAATACCTTTTTGTACTGGTGCATTATTACGCTACCGTTCTGGAGTATTATAGGCTGCAGTATGCTAAGCATAACGGGTTAACTGCTGCTGTAGCAACTGCAGCAGTAACCAACTCCGAATAATAATAATAGTTAGGCTCCTTCTAACACGCTGCAGATGGAACTGACATTAAAGGTCCAATGTCTGAGGGTTTTTTCCAAGATAATTGCTGCAGTACATAGTGTTAACTTCATGTCAAGGAGTCTGTGGATTGCATCAGTGAGTTTGACCCACAGGGAACTCCAGTGGAAAAACCCAACACAGCAGGTGCTCTGTAGAAACTCCAAGGGAAGATTCCTTTTTCTTGATTAGTAGGCTATTAAATGGTGATGCTATAAGTGGTGAAATAAAGTTTATCTAGGGGTATATTGTATAACTTCTGTTATAAATGCTGCCTGAATCTCATTTTCCTGGGATAGCCAGTGAAATTCTCTATAGGACCCCTGGATGTCTGGACCACTGTTAAGAAACACTGTGTTGTTTGGCTATACTGTGGCACAGCAACTTGGGAAATCCTCCTTGTGGCACCTTGAGAATCACGGACAAGGAGAATTAAGTGTTTCCACCAACCTTCATGATGCCGCAAGGTGTGTTTCCAGCTCCCTGGCTTCTCTCGGCGGAATTATCACGGCTGCCACTCCCGATCCTTGGGTTGCCGTGCTCCCTGTACCGTCTATTGGTGTAAACTCCTTCGGCCCCGTAGCCCTGTGGAGCGGCCGACACATCCAAGTACGCCCGGGTTCCGGACGGGGTCAGTGCGGACGCAACGCCGGTGATACCTGCTGCGTTGGTCGCGCCCTGGGGAGGCATGGCGCCGATGGCAGGATCCAAAAAATGTCCCGACACAGCATCTGAAGCGTGTACCCCTTCCATGATCCGCCAGTTACAGTAAAGCCCTCCCCTCAACAATGTAAAAACCCATTTTCTCAAAGCACGGAGGACTTGATGTCCAGGGCAACGCGTCTTATTCACGGATCACCGCTGCCGGTTCATCATCGGAGCGCACGGTCGCGTGTGAAGCCGGGCAGCGTATAGTCACACATTGAAGCGTCCTGGTGAAATAATGAGCTGAAGGTTTAACCTACCCGCACACGACCGTCTCCGATTAGCGGACTGGAGGCATTTGCTCAAAAACACCGGAGATTCTGATTTACGATCAGGGTTTGCTGCCACCGTTTCTGTTTACAGCGTACACTTTCGTCTCCTGGTCCCCAAGAATCTGTTTCGCTCACCACGTCCGCTTCTGTGCACTCTCGTGCGCATCTCCTAACGTCCTGTGCACTGTTGTTGCGGTGCCTGCTAAATCCGCGGGACAAATTCAAGACTGCGAGGGCGCAATAAACGCACAAACGCGTGCCCACACCATCGCGTGTGTACAGTTAAATCCATAATCTCGCGGAGCAAGTCTCACCTCTACAATGACATTTACACAGAGTTTAATCCGGATATTTCACACGTTTTGCACCCTACGGTATTAGTGAGCACCTCATGGAGCGTGTAACTCACTCACGACCTCACTTTCTGCCATTTAGTAAACTAGCTCTCCATAAGAGGGAGCTCGAGAGTGCCAATTTAAACATTTGTGAAAATTAGATTTTGTAAAACAAAGAAAAAAATGTGCAAAACCAGATTTTAAAAATAAAATACAAACTTAAAATCCCCAATTTAAGAGATTTTTTCAACTAATTTTACTGTGATTGTGCCCTCTGAAAGGAAACAGAACCACTGTGGGATGTTTATATAAAATATTGGTGAAAGTCAAGCAGGAAAAAACTGGCAGGTCTTGTATAAACAGAAAGTAACTGCAGCCGGAGTGGTTTCCAGCTGCAACCACAACAGATAAGTAAAGTGACTGCTGCTGCATGGGTGTAGCTTTTTAAATCAGACTTTTGACTTTTTAAACATCTCTGGCCCAACGCTAAGCATTTGACAACCATATAAGAAAGCCAATGAATAACAGTTGGGTATATTTTTTCATTAACCTGTAAGTTTGTTATTAACTTATAGGTTAGAAATGTTTCTATCTGGCCTATTGTTTTGTCTTTCAATAAATAAAATCAATGTCGACACCCCACTCCAAGGTTACCAGGACGTAATGATAGAGGACAGATAACAGGGTGATGTTGGTACTACCTTTAAATTCTGTGATATTTACTGATTCATCAACAAAAAATGACAATATGCAAGTAAAGTACAGATACCTCAACACTGTACTAAAGTACAGTACTTGAGTTAATGTGCATACTTTAATTACTTTCCACCTCTGCTGACAATACACTCAACCTTAATCCTTAAGACGTGTTTGTAGTTGTAACATTAGATGTACATGTTTGCATCTAATCTAAATGAGCATAATAGAAACTAATAATGGTTCTAATTAAGCCCGCATCTGTCTCAGAAACATTTTTGTCAGTAATATTCTATTTTTATACAGTTTTTTCCCACCAAAAAAGACATTACAGAACACATGAAATGACACTGTAATTTCACAATATGCCTCTTCATCAAATACACAAGGACACCCCGCCTCCCATCTTCTTGGTATTCATTTGAAGACAATCAGCAGGAGGGAACAACAGAGCTGAGGCTGTGAGCATGAGTCCTATTCATTTACAGTTGCATCCAGAGTAAATTGGAAAGACTGCAGTCATGCAACATCATTACATGCAGTCTAACCTTGGCATCGCTGTCTCAGATGCGTCTGAAGCCAGGCCTAACAAACTACAACAATGGAGGGCGTAACAATCGATGTCAAGCCAACTCACATCATCAGTATGCTGGGACAATGCAGCCCACCGAAGAGGCAAATCAAATCACAGCCATGCTTGTACAAAAGGAGTCATGTGCAGCAGAGAATGTGTGCGAGAGCATCTGTTTATAATTGCCAAATATGGCCAGACTAATCAGAGCCAACACAATGTCTATGCATCATGGTCACACTAGGTTTTTGTCCTTTGTGTAAATTTTGGAAATACTAGGAAAAGGATTTCCTTTAAGTAGCAGCAGCCACATGACAGTATGGGTTTCGTCTGAAGGTGGGACAGTCTATAGAAGCTAAAGGTCATATTAAATTCTGCTAGTGCTATTAATTCACATTCAGATCAGTGAATAGGACAGATTTACACACATCTGAGTATTGTTGAAGTTTACATCTCAAGGACAAGCTGAACAGCGAGAAGTGAATTAAATCTGAGAAACAAACTATATGACAGAGAACGAGTGTGAGCAGTGGATGAAGTAATGGTGTTTGCCATTTGACTGAGGAAGCTGTAGAGATTTCATGCCACCTTCTTTTCCTCACTCGTTCTCGCTGCCCTCTCTTTTCCCTCAAGGTCTCTCAGGGTCATGTATTATGCATTCTCAGAAATAATTCAGCAAAAGTTCTGCTTTTAAAAGCCTCCCCTCCTGGCCCAGCCATCTCACTTTAATATGAAAAAGCTTGCGACGACTGGTGTCCAAATTCAAACATCAGCTCCACGTGGACTTAAAATGAGCGCACGTGCTGTATGTTACAGTGCACATATTTACTTAGTGACTTGATAAATGACCATATCAGGAGTGATGACAAAAGATAAACAACTTTTGGCCAAAAAAAGAGCTAAAATAAACCACTAAGTGAGAGAGAATGTGAAATACAGAGAAGGCTGTATCAGCACAATTGAACACTGAAACTGGCAACGTCACTCTAAAATAACACCCCTGCTGTTTCCCTGTAGTTTCCCGTGGCAGGACATTAGCCATGGCTGCGGGGAGTAAGGCACCGCTTCCTCTCACTGCAGTAGCTGTGAGGTACAAACCAAAGGATCTCCATCACCAGACCTCTGATGCTTCTCTCCTGCCACTGGGGCCCATCAACAGAAGCCAGACCATTTGTAATGATGGTGTTGACTGACTATTGATCGAGTCTTCCAATCTCAGATGCCTATAGAGGAAAAGAAGACAGAGTTACCTGGTCAAATGTTTGTTTGTTTGTCAGTTTGTTCCCTCACACCTTTATTTCTCATTTACATCATCTACGGCATCAGTTATAATTACCTTTCTCTAACTTCAAAGGAAGATACTGAGATACAAATGAAAACACAAGATCAACAATTTTTTTCTCACAGATACATGTATAATGTGGGAAGTGTAAATTTAAATATTATTTATAGAGGAAGTTCCTGCAGATCACAGATGGGGAGGGGTAGGTGTGTCTTCCTGAGCTTTGCCACCACACTTCCTCTGCCCGCCCATGTGATTATCAGTTCAACAGGAACAGAAACCATGTATACAGTTTTCTCATAAACACTTTTTTTTGTACTGTAGGTTTCACAGTGTACTTTTACACCAACAATTGGTCTTAAAAGGCACAATCTATGATTTAAACAACAACAAAACACGAGAATCTCACAGGATTAACACGCCGCAAAGGATCTAATTAATGTTTCATGATGCTGTAGGAGTTTTGTTTACATACGTAGGAAAACAGGTTCAGTTTGATTTATGATTAACAAAGACAAAAGTGCTGAGTTTCCAGTTCTACCTCAAAGGCTTCCATTATAAATGTGATTTGGTCTCAGTAAAGAGTGTGGTAAAACAGTTACTCCGCTTTTAACTTCTTGTTCATTTTATTGGGGTTTTCACTGACAAGATTACAAGTTAATTAGACTAATAAAGCATGCAGAGATGAAGGCTGAGGTTGAGTGTAGAAGGTCAAAGTTCAGCAGTGTAGCCTTTAAGGTGAAATGAGGAACTTAAAGAAGCACAGGTCAGGATCTGAAAGCCCATTCTGTGAGCATGTCATCAAGATGTGATTTCTGTTTTAACAGGATTTTCATGCTATATTGCATTATAAGGCTTTTTTCAATTGTAAAGCAGAAGTGGCAAAATAATTTAAATCAGTTTTACACATTTTTAATTGGTTTGGGGGAGAATGGATGGCCACCGCATGGACAGTGCTAGTGAAGTGTCATACTTGGATTGTGATAGCTACAAGATCACATGTAGAAGCAGAGGATTTATTCAGAATTTATAAGAACATCTAGCACTTCTTTGTATAGTTTTTATTATATGTTTGCATTTTGTTTGAGCTTTTATTTTTCTCTCTCTATCATGTTTTATCTAATGTCTGAATCATTACTGAAGCTTCACAGCTGTCCTCTGTCGGATCCATTGGACTTTACTGACACCTGGTGTTGATATAGTTTAATGAGCTAGAATAAAGATAAATACTCTTGTCCATGCAGATTCTCAGTCATCCAGGTCATAGTAAGCTGAAAAAACGTAGAAAAAAATCAACTGGACTTGGTTTTAGGTAGAAGGCGTTTCACCTCTCATCCAAGAGGCTTCATCAGTGCTGTCCAACTGGTGTTGAGCAGGAGAAGTCCAGTTGATTTTCTCTCTGTTTTTCATCTTACTCATGTGCTTCTTTATCTTTTGGCTAGAAAGATAATCATTTTCAGAGATGGAGGGAAGTCCGCTCACCCAGCTGGTCAACACAAAGCCTCAGCACAGCTTTCAGTTACTGTAATCTGCCAATAAATTATAGTCAAGGACAAAGAAATGCACTGTATGTCAAACACTGGGCCTCATGAGAGACTAAAGAAAAAGCTTTAACTAAATGCAGAGATTGATTGGCCTTTCAAACTGGTTGACAAAGAACTGGCAACACAGGAAATACAGAACCTATTAGGAAGAAGAGTTAGAGACAGCACAGCAGTTTCTGCCAAACAACAATGTGTGCATAGTTTATTAAAGTCATCTACCACCATGGGGCTTAAATACCTAGAATTTTACATCTCCAAGGCAAAACAATATCTGGTGCCCCCTGAAGAAACTGACATTACCTTTGAATCATACACATATACCTGAGTTTTTCACAGCCTTAAGGAGCAATACAGACTGAAACCTATACCCTTTGTATTTTCATTTGACCCCTTTTCATCCATGGGTCTCAATTCCAATTATATATTCTGTAACTAGTAAAATACATTTATCTCTGTAATTTATCTTTTTTTTTTAATTTTCTTCAGTCATTACTGTATTTTATTGTGCAAAGCAGTTGCCAAACTTAGTCATCTGAAATATTATACTTATTGTACACTGTACCTGGAAACAGTGGCTTGTCTGCTGTATGCTATTTAAGGACCCCCACTTCAGATGCAAACCACAGTGTTCCAGCTATACTTCTGCTTTAAAGCTCCTGTAATGAATGCAGGATTAATGTCCAAGCAGCTACCCTCCACTGACCTCTGGCAGCCTTTTACACTGGCATGGTATCATTTACCTGTGCACATTTTTAGCCTTTAACACAGTAACCCATAGGAATAAATCATTTAAATACTAAAGGCCATAATTATTACATTTTGTCTAAAATAACCACCCAATGAAATTCTAGATCTATAACTTGATGATGAAATAAGCAATAACCATTCACATTTGTTTAAATGCCATGCAAAGTAGATTTTCTTATAACTTTCCCTGGGTCTGAACATGACTCCCAACAAGTAACTGGCAAAAGCTACAAATCAAAACACACACAGAGCTTATCCCCACCAGATGGCAGAAATGAGCTTATTCAGACAATTTGTGATCAAGACAAGAATTCAACTTCTGAGGTTGTGAAGAACTATTGTGCAAGTACAGATGGATAATGTGGTAAAACACACATATGTTCACACACAAACAGTTCTTTTTAGGTAGCTCTGCATACTTACCATCTCTTATGGTCACATGGCACATTCAAATGAACATTACATTTTGAATGTTGAGCCATTTAGCACAGTCTATAATTAAGACGCTTGTATTCTATAAAAACTAGTAAAGAAGTGGCTGACATCAGCAGAGATATCTAAACAACAATTTATGAGTCTACAGTGATGGAAAGTCTGCTGGTTTGTTCCTTTAAAATGAAATGATTAATTCCTGCATTGTATGGCAACATATTGATTTAATGTCAAGTATCATTGGGGATGTCTTCAAGGGAGGGTTTCTCAGTAAAATGAGGAACTTTCTACTCTGAAGCCAAGGCTGTAATATTTTCCACTACATTAATAAGTGGAATAGTTTGTAATAAGTTTAAACATAAAATTGCTGGGTCCATGTTTATATGATGAAAGTTCTTTCACGCGTTGCAAAATGCAGCAGACCGAGTGTTCAGGTGCACTGATCCTATTATACTGCACATGATGCATGTGATACACCCATTTCCCTGTTGAGCTTCTTGATCGTCAGACTGACTGCGGTGACTGCACACATAAAAAAGAAATGCATGTGTTTTTTAATGACATCAAAATCTTTGGTACTTCTACAGGCTGAGTTCAAATTATTTATAAAACTTTATTATATTCTTTGCAACTCAACAGCTGTTTCTCTTGGAAAAAATCCAAGTGATAAATCCAAACCACAAACATTGTACATACACCAAACAGCGCCATCTATATCTTGAAAAAAATACACATTCTAGTGAAACAAAGCTCAAAAATGATGAGAATAATGGTAATGAGAGCTACATGTTTCCCACAAGACTGCCTGTGGTTAGGGTTAGGTACGTTGAGATATGAAATACAGGGAAAAAAGCCCAAAATACAAAAGCCATAAAAATAAAGGTGAGAGGATATTTTAAATATTGTAAAGTCTGTTGGACAAATACACACATACATCATACATCTTTCTCTGATTTCCAGTTGATCAGTGTTTTTTCAACTGCTACTGGTGACATGCACCACAAGACTTCTGCTCAGATTGAGTTGGTATTTGAATCCTCAACGCTGTCAGACAAACGGGCTACATTCACTAAGGGTGTACCAGAGAAACAATAAAATAGAATTATGATAGAGAAGATACGTTTATATTCTGTATTCATATACAATTTTCCATTTTGCTTGCACATCAGTTAAGCAAAGCGATTCATTCTCGAAGTTCAAGGCTGTGATCAGTGACATATTTTCTATCCAGCATTGTGTGTGTGTGTTTCAAGTGGAGGCAGTGGGGTAATAGTCTCAGCATATTAGACTAATGTATTTCTCTTTTATATGCAGCAAAGAAAACGTATGTTGAGTGATACCAAAAGCCAAAGATAGACATAACTTGACATCCTTGAGCAGCTGGTGAGGCTGAGCAAGCATTCGAAGCCTGCACCTATCTATCTATGCCTTGCAAAGTCAGCGTATGGCACAGTCTGGCTGTCACACGGTGACATGCACATGCTGGTTATGTCACACTGTCATGGCACTGCTACAGGGATAGGCAGTGAAAGTCAGAATGGAGCAGCAAAGCCCCAAATATACAGGCATACCGACCACACAAGATTCTTCATCAGTCTAGACTTCTTCAGGTGAGGAGGTTTCAAGCATAAAACAGCCAACAGAGTTAGCCCTCAGGCAGCAAGGGATCTTCTTCACACACAACAGCACAAATTACAATAACAAAAACCCACTGACTAATGGTGTGAATGTGGTGCAGAAACAACAACAGACACAAACGCAACAACAACTGTCAGCAGAATAATGCGAGGTAGCATTGACGATGGAACAGAGGGACCTGAGAGGGTTAAGCAGGCAGTGCTGGGTAAATGCTTAGATTTGCATTTCTGTGTACAAACAGAAGATAAATAGCCCTGTGAGCGCAAAGAAGGTGAATAACCCACCCCCCCGGGGGTTTCAGCTGGTGAACAAGTACATTTATACGATACTGATGTGTGTGTCAGTAGCAGAGCGCACAAAGTTGCTATGCCTTTAGGTTAGTGTATATGGATTTGAAAAACTGACTGCAGCTCTGCAGAGCAATGACTCAGATGATGTTTAGAGCGAAAGCAAAACTTTCCTTTCTTCTCAAAGGGCAAATTCAAGGTCATTATCAAAATACTGATTACCCATTTACATAGAAGAAAATATGACAAAATAAAAACATTCACCTGTTAAAATGACTTCATACAGTAGCATATTATTTCAATCGGGAAATGGACATGCATGCACATTGTGAATGAACATTACTTCTTTTTCACAATACTGGAGGAACACTGTAGGTTTTGCATTATACCTAGCCTGTTTTACAAACACTTGTGGACACAAATAGAACTAAGACATGTTACTGACATGCATGCTCTCATGCTGAAAAAAAAAAAAAAATCACAACTATTATCAACATTTCACATTGTAGCTATCTGAAACAAAATGAATGGAACCAAACCATGAGAAATGTCAATGTGAGTGGGACAAGGACTTGTATGGTGTTGTCACAGGTTTAAAGGTCAAAGGTCAAGACTGTTGGCCACCCCACTGGCTCTCTACAGGCCGCCGGAGGAGCTCTTCTACATGCCTTGCCACGTCCATTGTGTCATCCAGGTCAAAGTCTCCATCCGCATCTAACATAGAGTCACCCCTGCCACAGGACAGAGAGAGGAACCAACCACATTCAGACAAGCTGGCAGCACATCACCAAGAACAGCAGGTGCCACAAGATACTCCTTACAGTACACACAAAAAATGCATACACACTCACACGGAGCAGCTCATATGTTCAAAGGACTTATTGACTCACATAGTTGAGAATGTTCCGTAGGTGTGGGGGTGAATGACAGGTGCTGGGGAGGCGCCATGATCCATATAGGTTGCGTTCGCACTTGTTGGGTCTGGATTGGCTGTAGCAAACCTGTACACACACAGACACACACACGCATCCTTGTTTTTGTCACTTACCGGGTCTCTACATAGGCTTACATTCATTTCCAGGAGACTTATCCTAACCTTAACCAGAGCCGCTACTTGCCTAACCTTAACCCTAACCCTAATACTTAACCTTACACCCCATCGTTTTCATAGAATTCCACAAACTATGTTGTGGGGACCAGCAGCCGGTCCCCATGAAGATAGTAACTCATGAAGTTTGGGCCGCACAAATATAGAAAAACAAGGCCACACACATACACACACATTTAAACCCAAGATAGAAGCCTATGAGTCTACGCTCAGCAGTTGCCTAAGCAACTACCCTCAGCATGTTTTCCAGACCTGACTGCATCATTACGACCATTCTCTCTACTGCAGGTAAACCGACCACAGAGACAGGCAGGGAGTAGGGCTTGCTAACTAACAAGCCTTACTCTAATGATGAGTGGAAGACAAGCCTGCTCAGGAACCCCGGCCTTCCCTTAATTGACTTCCTCCAACTGTAACAGTGAACTAATAGCTCATATTTATTCAAGGTCCAATATTTAGAGATTAACTCTAAATGTTGTCACAAAGGACGAGCTGGTGGATGGATGGCGGAGAAGACAAGAAGGACAGCAGGAGCAGGTTTTTTTTGAAATGAACAGGGAGCTTGATACTTACTCAGGCACCACTTGTTTGATCTGTGGTTTCACATAGCCGTCCACTGCTTTGGCTTTAAAACAAACAAGCACAGGGGCAGAATATCACTGACAGTTCACTGCAGTCATCATTGAGCAATCACGACACCCGTTCACAATGGGAGGTTTGCAGCTGGGATATTAAAATTTTAAAAGTAATTGTAGCCAGTGCAAAAAGGAAGTGGCTTACAGAGAGGCGGGGTGTAATATTTGGAGAACACCTCATCCTTGGGTCTGTCAGGGTAGAGGAACAGGAGGTGATTGAGATCGCTGATGCGGTCGGCCAGAGAACGAATAGAGAAGTCTTTGGTTGTGTAGGGCATGAGGTTCCAAACCATTCTCTCACCTGGAGAAACACCCACATCACAGCATCAGCAATGATCTTTAATCCTAAACATTCTAATTACACTATTACAACACCCGAATAATCTAAAAACTACATGTCTCCTGCCATCCTGTCACACGCTATACTCACACATTAAGCCTTAAAAGTTACATTTATGATTTGAAAATACTGATAATAGGTTATGGTTGGTTTAAGCTCATTGTTTTTCTGCCTTTTTCTGGTCCATATGGTTCAGTCTTACCCAAACCCCTCATGAAACTGTTTACAGATGCTCAAACTACATGTACAAAACAGCAGAAATGCTGAGTAAATGGCTGGTGACAACATCTTACAAGTTGAAGAAACCTGCCTTTAGAAGATGTTTGCCACCTGAAGTGGGGCTAAAATTGAGCAATTATCACACTTACTGTCAGCAGTTTAAAATGAGAGCAAGTTGATTGGGATGCCCATGCTGCTATTCTCCTAGACTTTTCAGTAAAATCCAGTTGCTATGACATTATTAATAAGCACTTGCTAAGTCAATAGTATGTCAGACCTCTGCTACCATGAGTCCAGACTTCGTCTTTCTGCCCCATAATGGTCAACACAGCACTAGCAGTTTAATGCTATTTTAACTTAGCAAAAACATAACAAGAATCTTGTACATAAATAGAGTCTTGCTTCACTTCTTGCACAGCCAAAAAGTGTAGAAACCCAAGTAAACTGATCCATAAAAAAGTTTAATTTTAAAGGTCAGAGAATGCTGTTGTCTGCCATTTGGTGTTGTTACAAACATCTGCACATCACAGACCTGCTTTGTTAGGATTTTCTGCCACCCAGGCAATTGTGATTCCTCCGATCTCAGAGTCACTGAAGCGCAGAAGGAAGGTGCCATTGGGTTTAGACATCAGCATGTCCTGAGCCTGCTGCTTGTTTACAAAGCCCAAGATGGCTCTAAAACGAGAGAAGATTATATATATATATATATAAAAAAGAAAAACATTATAATTGTCCTGTGCTACCGTTCACCATCTCAGTCCTTTATTTCAGTCCTTGTTTACTGGTGAGAGCCGATCCAGCTCCACAGCTTGCCATGGAAAATAATGAAAGTGAATCATTGCCTGGGTCGACAAGATTGTCAAAACAGGGACAGGAAAACACATACTTTCACAGCACACGCTGTCCAGCTGTCACACTGACAAAAAAGAAAAGTGCTGCTTTATTTTTTTCTGTTCTACCACTTTTTTCAGTCAAAGATTGAAACTGATATTCTTACCCGTCATTCCAGTGTGGTTTGAGATGCTTTTTTGTGAGTTCCATCACACCATCAAACCACTGCCAAAATGTGAAGTTCCTTCCTGGCAAGCTTTCCTGTAGAGGACAGGGGGAAAAAACTGACATGTACATCTTTTAAAACATTTTCAGATTTCTTCATGCCCATCCAGCCCATAAACACAGGGAACAACATGTCCTCATCCAAGTTGTGTTTATGATTTATCCACGTGTGCAGCTGTGTGTGTACATGTTGGGCACTGTGTCTGAGAAGAAGAAGAAGAAGCAAAAGAAGACGTCTGTATGCCGCATGCATGTGTGTAGCCTTTACACGAGTCTGTGAAGCAGCTGAAACTTGATGTTCCTGTGATCTAATGAGACTGATGGTGTGTGGTGAATGTGAGTGCGTTTTCTGCCACTGCCAGCTGCTTTGCGCCAGAAAATGAGGCCTCCAGCCTTTCACTGGATGGACAAACAGGCCCATTAAGATGAAGAGCTAGCTAGCAATGAGGTGTTCTCATTTAAGTGGACTACAGAATAGGGCAACCGGGACACTGCAAATGGAGCAAGAAATATTTCTATGCATGAATAACTAGCAGTAAATCAGTCTTTGGAGAACATGTGTGTAGCTGAAATGGTTCACTAAAACTGGCCTGTGGGCATGTAAAAAAAAAAAAAGGGGGTGGGTATCGGTGCTGACCCTGTTAAACTGAGACCAGGTCATAGTCATGTTGCGGTAGTCGTCGGGGTTGTTGCTGGAGCTGCTGAAGGCCTTTTGAGCCAAGAAGACCAGGTTCTCCTCAGACAAACCTCGATTACTCTGCACTTCAGCTTTGTACTTCATGTTGATGGCATCACACAGCTGAGGCCAAAGCACCTTATCTGGCACAAGGAAAGGCACCCGTCCCTGTCGGAGCAGAGGAGAGCATGTACATGTGCTGGAGCAATGTGGCAGCAGAATGCAAATCACAGTAACAGATAACGTGCAAATATGAGCCAAAAGCACGTGCTGACAGCTGCAGCATTTTTTTATGTATATTGCATCATTATTTCCACAAAGACTAACATATTTCATAACAGTCACCCTCCATTCAAAATAGTGATAATCTAATTAGTTCACCAGGATATCGGAGCTTCACTGTGCACACTGATGGATGTGCAGAGTTTGACACTAGAAGGCTGGTTGCCCGTTCATCTACCTAACGGGGAACATTTCTCTGTGCTCAAATTAAATCTCAGGTTCTGATGTTTACAATTTTGTGACATGCACTCCAAAATGCAATTTCCAGTGCATTTAAAGTGAGAATGACCTTTCAGTGAAACAGGAGACATCTTTTACCCAGCAGTTAAACTCTGAACAGTATTTGCATATGAATAGGTTCTGGAGTTTCAATAAGGGTGAAGGAAATATGTAATTTAAACACATTTTAACAAGGTACTAGAAAGAACTGTTTCAGGCACAAGTTGTTTTTGAAAGCAAACTGTTTTAGGGCAGTGGTGGCCTAAAGGTTAGGGAAGCTTGTGACTGGAAGATCCCTTATCAACACCACCGTGGTGCCCTTGGGCAAGGCCCTTAACTACAGCTGCTCCAGTGGAGCTGCTCAGTGGCCTGCAGGTCTGCTGTGTTTGTACTTGGCAGCTTCCAGATGTGAATGTGTATAACTGTATGACTGTACTAAACTAAGTGGAAATACTCTGAGTAAATAAAGCTTATTTTTATATGTACTACCATGTCAGAGATTTAGCTTTAAACATTCCAGACCAAAGCAAAATAAAATAGCTATCTAACAGACAGAATAGATATAGAATAGTAAAATGAATCTACTTGCTAAGGCCATGTTGATTACTCGGTCATGTTTGATGTTTATCTTACTGATTACATTTTGATCAACTGTTTAGTCTATGAAATGTAATGAGAGCAAATGCCTTTCAGAGGCTGAGCATAGTGTCTTATTTCAAATGCTTAAACTGTCAGTGAATAAAACATGTGTTGTAAGCAGATATGTGTTAACTAATAGATTTGTCAATAACTACAACACCTCCTGTGGGCAGCCATAAGTAGCGGCTGGTGTATAAATAAATAATACATGACAATGTATTAATACACTGTTGTAATAACATATCTTCACGTCATCATAGAAGAAGTTATAATTATGCTATGTTGTTGATGGTGTTGCCCATGAATAAAGATACATTTGATGTATAAAACCGAAAGGTTTATGTGATTCTGGTGTTTATGTAATATTTAAAAAAAATACAGGCTGATATTTAGTCATTTCTAAATTAAATGTTGAACCCACAATCACACATGCAAACATTTACTCACCGGCTCTGCAAAAGCATTGTCCCACAACACAGTTGCTGTGGCGTTATTGTCTTGGCTACCATGAACTATCACCACTACAGGAAGTGATAATGTCTGTTCAGAAAAAGCAGAGAGAGGCCATCAGTAAAACACACAGCAAAAAACATGATCACAGTATGTTTTGAATGTAATGATAAAGCCCTTTAAGCAACATCATAAGACCACTGGGAAGAAGACATATGGGAAATGGGAACAACTACTGTTCGCTGGGCAGATGGTAAAAGTTTGGTGATACAGGCTTAAGGATGAACAGATTCCTACTGTCGCAGGAGTAAGAAGGCATAGTATTGTTGTGTACCAAGGCTAATGTAAGCTTTTCGTCCATCCTGTCTGTCTGCGTGCTCTTACCTTCACTTGAAAGCCAAGCTCATTCCCTCCAACACTAAACTGGGACTCGAACAAAATGGTGAATTTCTCTTCTGTGACAGATTCTGCTCCTCTCCTGTCCGATCGCTTGATCCTCTTCAAAGACTACATGAAAGATTATGTGTAAGAATGCTGCCCGAATTACACAAACAATTCAAACTTACTGTACATCGTCTACAGCACATGCATGCATAATTCACTTTGAATCACATTACCGTGCTAACATGTAAATAATCTATGGAGGACTCTGGGGATTGTTGCTAACAACATATGTGATGTAGGCAGAGGCTCTAATATGCTCCTCACCGATCCTCCAAAGCATTGCTGAGTTGCCATGGGTATGTTAAGTACATACTGTACTGTAATACCCACACTGCGCATCAACAGTGGCACTTGATGGAGCAGTGGAACAGTTCTATTGAACCAACAGTGGCACTTGATGGAGCAGTGGAAAAGTTGGTTTCACATCAAACTATCATAGTGCTGGTATACTACTGTGGTAATCCTTATCATGGAAACCGCTCAATAAAATAAAATGACAGTCCATCATTATATGAAGGTCAGTCAGTTCAGAAAACTTAGAGAAAGAACTTAAAGTTTCTCAGGTGTAGCCAATAAAAACCATCAAATACTATAATGAACGTGGCTCCCAAAGGTGGCTACTTTGAAGAATCTAATATTCAAACTTCTGACTGGCACTGTAATTTCTAATGATTTATTTAGATACATTCTGAGGTGTGCCATAAAGTCATGTGCTCATCTAGAACACAAGACTCCACTCACCATGTTCCTGAAGTGGGCACTGAGAGTTCCTGTAGTCTGGTGGTACTCCATCACACAGTTATTGTTGAGAATTTCCCCACTGCTGTCACTGAATGACAGAGACAATCAAGAAGTAAGTCTTCTGTGACACACTTGCCAGCTCAGAATAACAAACAAATGAAGACAATGTTTTTTGTTTGAATGGCAGCAGCTCAGTAAAAAACACACTGGGTGTATGAATGATGTTTATGCTCATTTTTTTAAACTATTTCTATCTTCTCCAGATTAGCAGAAAGCAAATAAAAGTCTCTGGGCTGTGGATCAGGTGCCATACTAAGCGATGTACTGAAGACGAGAAAGAGTGGATGATGGCTGAGCTGTTGAGCCACTGGTTTCCTGGCTGACATGCAGTTCTGGAAGGTTCCTGTTGGTCAGGAGGAACGTGGCCTGACGTGGCAGAACAGGCTAAATTTGGATTCTGCATCCACACTATAGATTCCTCTGAGGCATTGTTCAAGTTCCAGCCATGTTTTTGCGGTGAGGTCTGGAAACACACTAGGTCAGAATGCATCCTGGGATGCAGTAATCCCAGAAAACTAAAACTATTTATCTTAATGGCACCATGGAAGCTCATTACAGTCTTCCCACTAAAAAGTGGGAACACTACATGGAAGCTCATTACAGTCTTCCCACTTTTTAGTGGGAACACTAAAAAGTGTATACAAAGAAGGAAGCATTTTGTTGTTAGAATGCCAAAGCACTTGTGTAGTATCTGTCACTTCTTGAAGCGTCTTCTTCAGAACCAGATTTTCCATATTTATTTAAAGTAAGCCATGTCACTAATGTGACCAAGTAGGAGACATTAGTGAGGCTCCAGAGAATTTTAAAAAAGTCCTCTTTGTAATTGTAACATCTTCTGTTGTGACATAAATGAAACATTAGACTTACTTCCTTGTGTTTTCATTCTTCAGGAGGGCTTTGGCTTGCTGTTCACTAATGATGGTGGCTTTGACCTGTGGTGGGTTCATGTGCACGTTCAACTTCCCACCCACTAGGAGACGCACTGTAGCGGCAAATTTGGTTTGGGTTTTGAGCACTTGTGGAGGTTGTTTCTCAATGATGAAAGTGCTGTGGAGACAAAAGCAGCATTAGACTAAGTGGCAAAACAACGTCTTGTTGATTAGCTGACTTGGAAGCACAGTTAGTTAAGGTCATGTAACATGTTTGGTTGAAATCATCTTGTCCTTAAATGGTACAAAGAAAAGAAGAAAACCACCAGAAATGTCATGTCTTATTTTCTCCCTGCAGCATGTAGCACTCATCTCCAAATTAAAACCAGGTCTCAATAACCTTAAGACTGCAAAGTGTCCAAACACAGGAATAAAACACTGCATGTTTAAAACACCCAAAAGACTCCACAAATATTTTGAGGTCGAAAATCTTTCAACATGTTCATGTGTTTTTGTGTGAAACATCAAATGCAATAACTGTTGACAATGGAAACTCGGCAGGGTTCCTTTGAGCTCTACTGACCTGCACACTTGAGAACATTAGCCTTTGATAATGGCCTGAAATTTGACCTTGAGCACTAATGGAAGGTAATGAAAGTAGCAAACTAACAGGGCTAACAATTACTTTCATCTGACAATGTTACTTTGCTTTTCTGTCTAGATGTCTTCTGATTTGAACACAAAAAGAAAAGTGAGAAGACAGCCTAATGATTAAGCCTGCATGCTCAGAGAATAACTTGAAAGCAAAGACTTACTGTTGTTATGAGCCTTCAAGCTGAACACAGTGGACGACACTCTACCATTAACTGCCTGAAACCTCTTGGGGCTTCAAGGGAATACAGAGAAGATGTGCTAAGGGAAACTAACCTGTGCTGTGTGTGATAACAGTGCATTACTAGCCACAGCACAGAATCAGCTCATGCAGCACTGTTAATACTGTATTGTTAGATTTATCAGCTGCATTTGACACTGTGAATCATTATATTTTTCTGTCTTGTGTGCGGGTACCCGAGGTCTTGTCTTGAAATGGTTTGGGTCATATCTGTCTAATAGATGTTTCTCAGTATGTATTGAAGACTTTTCTTCCTCTCTTGCTTCTTTCACATTTGGGGCTCCACATGGCTCTATTCTTGGTCCGGTTCTATTTTCATTGTATTTACTTCCATTAGGGCCTATTTTTAAAAAATATGGGCTGATGTTTCATTGTTATGCTGATGATATTCAAATCTGTTTACCAGTTACTGGAAAGAATAATTGCCTGTTATCACCTTTATTTGATTGCTTGTGTGACATAAATAGTTGGCTATCACTGAATTTTAAGACAGACAACATGTTGGTTGGACGCCGCAGTGGACTGTCTAATTATGATCTTAGTCCGTTGGCTGCTTATGTGAAACTGCAGGTAAAAAGCCTTGGGGTGGCTTTTGATAGTGCCCTTAGAAATAAATAGATCAACTTGGTTGTTAAAACAAGCTTTTTTCAGTTGAGACTGTTATCTAAGATTAAACATTTTCTCTCATTTCAGGACTTTGCAAAGACAATTCATGCATTCATTAGCTCTAGGTCAGAGTATTGTAATGTGCTGTAATTTTGGATCTCTCAAGCTTCCCTGTCCTGTCTTCAGCTGGTTCAGAATGCAGCTGTGCATTTTTGACTAATACTCAGAAATGTGAACATATAATCCCCATTCTGGCTTCTCTACATTATCTTCCTGTTTGTTTCAGGATTATTTTGAAAATTTCATTATTTGTTTTTAAAGCTCTGCACTGTCTGGCACCTCAGTATATCTCTGAGCTCTTACATTATTGCTCACTGGAGAGATCTCTTAGATCCTCTAAACAATTGCAATTCCTGCTCAGAAACTCAGGAGGGCAAAAAACACCTAGCACATGTACCTTTGGGGCCAAAAATAATATACTGAAATAAGTTGTATGTGCTCTTGCTTTCCATTAATCTTATGCAAAATGCATGTTCTTTGCCTCTGCAAATCTCTTTAGGCGCATTCAACTACCATCCTTTGCCTTTGGGCACATTTACGTTTAGCCCTGGCTCTCATCTCCTTCTCCACCCTCTCCCTTATGTCAGTGCTTCTTCTGTCCTCTGTCAATGTTTCAACCATGTTAATTTTTGCCCAACATCTATTAAAAACCAAAGGTTTGTGGGGCTGCACAGTAAACATATAATGCACAATGTGTAAGGCAAATCTAAACTTAACTGTCCTCACTTCAGCAGATGTTAATCACTCATACATGTAGTGGAGAATCAAGGGAAAAAATACAAATATGCTCACAAATGCCCACACATTCATATTATGTGACTTCACTCATGTGGATTGAATCATTAGATGGATAAATTTAATGCCTGAATAATTTAATTTTACTAACTGGTGATATAGGGTTTGCTAGGATAAAGGGAAGCACAGAAAAGGGTGATGCTTCCATGTACATAAACACCACCAACTTACACTTACATTGATGCTATGCTGACCTACATTCATGCTGTTAAATCAGCTTTTTTAGTCATGTTTCAGCCTTCTGAAGCATAGACAAACCTAAACACACATGCACACACACCTCGTGACCAATGCTGAGATGATATCTGTGATAGTACTGTTGAGTTCACTGAGAAGTTCTTCAATGGGACCGGGGATGGGCAGCTGTTGTCTGAGGTGCTCTGCTCTTCTAATCTGCTGCCTGTTCTGCCAGATAGTTTCCGCCAGCTTCTCACACCTGATGGGCAGCACACACATACGCACAAACAAATAAACACAAATAAAAATTAAGCCTAGGCACAGACATGATCAGAGCTCTTATGTTTATACATTGCTTACAGAAATTTGTACAGCAGAAATTTTTACTTTAGTAGGTAAGGATAGCTCAAAACAGCAACAAGAGTACAAGCAGTCTGAAAATATGGGCTTAGAAGTCTTAAAAAACAGACATGCCAGCCTATGTCTGCCAATGTGTCTTATTAGGAGCCAGTAAACTCACTAGTATTCAATTGCAAGTGTGTAAACCTTTGCTTTGTGAGGGAGTCTAGTGGCTGTGATCTTGGTAGGAGGTGGAGTGCTCACCAGGACTGCAGGATGTCCAAACCTCCCTCTGGTGGGCCCCCGTTGCCTGCCAGCTGCTGCCGTCTCTTCCACTGAATCAGTTCGTCGTCCAGAATGATGGTTTGCTGCTTCCTCAACAGCTGCAGTGTTTTCTGATGCTTCTCTGCCAGGTCCTGCACACAGACAGACAAAACATTTTTCCTTTGTGGAGAGGCTTACTGGCAAAACACACACTGGCATTCATGCACATACGCACACTGAAGAAACAAAAGTCATACTGTTTCACATACATAAACAAGGTAAAGTACATTTTTTATGTCTTACCAGTCTGTATTTCTGTAGTGTGTTGGCCTCTCTGGTCAGCCATGCCTCCACGGTGGCTCTCTTGCTGAGAAGGGTGGGCTCCCGGAGCTGTCGATCAGCAGGTGGTAGCGTGGCCAGGCTGGTCAGCTGAGCTGGGGAGGAGCAAAGTTGGCATCCAGAGGGAGAGAGGTGGGGATGAGTTAGAGGGAGGAAAAGAGAGAAGAGGTAAATTTCTCAAACCTGTGCACATACAGTATACATTATCCCCCAGGGGTAATAATGATTTACCCAGGAGAACCTTCTGTACCATATAACACAGAACAAAACGTTGTTTTCTGAATGATGCAACATATAGCAACAAAGGTTGCTGGGTTATGGTAAGAAGATGTTTCTATGTGATCTATAGGATCCAGCATTTCAGACAACTTGATGTGGAATGATCTTTTATTATTTCACACCTTAATATTTGAATCCTTCAATCATTTTTAAGCTGTTATGACTTTGATGCACTAGCTTCACACTCAAGTAAAGTCCAGTTGCAAAGTCTGGCTGCACAGTAAATTACTCAGGGCTTCAGCTAATGATTTTTTAAATATTTAGTTCATGTTTACATTTTCTATCTGTTAATTAATTACTCAAAAAAAGTTTGAAAAATGTCAGGAAATGGTGACAAATGTCCAGCTAGTGCCTTCATATTGCATTTTTTTTGGTCAAACTTACAATTCAAGGAAAAAAAAACTGAATGAGCCAATATGCAAATTTGAAAAGCTTAAACCAGATAAATGAGAAATAATTTAACACCAAAAATGTTCATGACAATTTTTCTGTAAACTGACTATTGATTTAGTTTCAGAACTGCATCTGCTTATTCACTTCACAGTCTATTTCTTCTTGCATCACTTTAGAGCAACAAACTCCTCTCTGGTCTCACCCTGGATGCGAAGGCTCTCTTGGTACTGGATGATGAAGTACTCCTGGTTGTGCTGGAGCTTCCGCAAATCATTCTCAGTGTCCTGAGTCATGAGACGAAGCTCCTCAAAAGCTTGGTTGATCTGTTGGTATTTCTGAGACATGCTGTCCATCATCCCCCCCACAGGAGAGCTCGACTGTCAGTGAGAAAGTGTGAATGAGAGACAAGTCCAGAGAGAGGTGGAGGAAATGACACATTTGGAAACATCCACTGGAAAGACTGGTTCCCTACTGGATGGTGCATGGCCCATACATCAGCTATCACTGGATTGTTTAGGAGAGCTGCCAAAGGGAAATGCCTGGCCACTGGTGAGGGAGGGAGCACAGATAGAAAACCTAGCTGGTCATGATGCGCTGACCCCTGCATGTGGCAGCTGGGCTATTTTAAAAGAAAATCCCCAGTGACTAAGAGCAAAGTGGGAACACTGCAAATAGACAAGGAGGATATGCATTTGCTTATACTCAGACAGAATGTGTGGTCAGTTAAAGCTATGATGGTGCCTAAATGTTCAGGCTACACAGGGTGGAATTCAATCAGTCCAAATATGCATTCCACTAATAGAAAAGGCATGCCGTGACTGAAAATCTATTTACTCCAGGAGGTGCTGAGAGTCAGATGTTTTTCGCACTGATGGCTTCATGGTTCTGTAACACAGTACTTGTTATAAAATGAAACATTTTACTTCCATTTTTGACTTCCCCCTTATTGCAGCGTGAAGAAACACAAAAGGGTTGCTTTCATGAGGCCATTTTACAGCATTTCTGAGTAGGTGTGAGCTTCTGAACATTTATAATAATACAAGGCAATCTGTAAACTTTGGGGGAATAGGTGGAGAAAATAGCGTAGTTATCTAATGATTCAATCTCTGAATCATTATGTAGTTGAAGAGAAGCCACAGGGGTTTGTCAGTGCACGTTTAGATTTTGTTGAGGACATCTGTGTATAGACAAATGAGCTGATGTGTGCATGCAGGTGTCACCTTGAGTATGGATTTCACAGCGCACACAAGCATCCTACTCACATTTGTTGCCTCTCTGACGAGCCTCTGCTCTGTGTAGAGGATGTGTTTGATGCATCGGACCAGCTCCAGAGGACAGCGGTCATACGTGCTCTGAAAGACAAGGAGCACATGTGCTGTGTTAAGGCCTGTTAGCCCCTGACGAGGAGAGCGGCCGCTGCACACAGGACACACCAATTAAGTCACTTCAAGGAAGCTCACTGGGATTCTGTTGCCAACGCTGCAGACACACTAAAACCCATTAGATAAGCCTAATGAAACCCATCTCCAAAGTTCAGTGCACTTCATATAGAGACATACATGCACACACATTGCCATGCACACAGCAGAGTTGAGTGGTGTACAGTATATGTTACAGTAATATTTTTGCTCTGCTGATGATTCATTTTGGTTTCCCTTTCATTAAAAAAATACTGTTATTCTTGTAATTTTTTTATTTCCTAATTTAAGTGGAAGCATGAAGTTGCTCTAAAACTGCTTTCATCACACCGAGTTAATGAGGACATACCACATGATGTGAGCAAAAGAACACTCGGCATCAACAGCATTTGTTCACCTGTGTCAGAGCTACTCTGATATTTTAAGGTAATACTGGATCTCGAACATAAAGGAAAGTAATAAACCATGCACAACACATTTAGCCATGTGAATATATACATTTACATAATCATAGACAACACACACAAAACAGCCATTTGATTATGCTCTGCCAGCTCCTCACCCCAAGAGAAGGCAAACAGAAGAATGGACCTGTGAGCAGGTTGCTCAATCATAAATAGCAGTGCTGTCTGGCTGCCAAGGCCCTCGCTTGGGTTGTCCACTTGTTTTCCTCACGGTAGATACAACCTGTTCCTAAAACATTTTCAGCACTGTGTGTTCTTTCTATGAAGTGCGTTTGGGCTGAACAGTTGTCCCTCCCAGCCACTTGCTTACTCTCTTGTCACACTGTAAGCAATTTAAATATTTTGCTGAAAACACAGCTACAGTCTATGCAGTTGAAGTTATGTAAAATGATTTCTGGAAATACTCCTTTGCTTTGCTTGGTTGTTTTTGGCTAGTGGGCACTACATGGTGGAATATTTTTACTCTTCTGTTTAATAATAAATCAAGTATCAAATACATTTGCAAATTAAATAAAGGTCTAAAATCTCAAAGTGCCGAGGAAAATTTCTCTTTCACTAATAAATCTGACAAATAACTGGAAGCCGCACTTGATACACATATAGCCTTCTTTGCATATTCTCAAACTTTGACCTTACTGACCCTGGTTCAGTTGCCTTCACTAACTGCCTGTCACTCAAGCAGATTGTATGAACATGACAAGGTGGCTTTTTTTTTTTCAGCTTGCTGGCTAGAGGCAGATGAGCCAAAAATCCTAGGCATGCAGTGCTGCTCTTATGGCTGTTAAGGTACATTTCCAAGGCACTTACCTTGAGCTGGCTAGCGTAGTGTCCCAGTTTGATTTTGAGTAGGAAGCCATCCTCTCCCACCTGGTGCTCAGCCTTGTTCTGGAGCTCCTGTATCAGACTGTCCAAGAGGCGCTTGGCTTTGAACTCCTCCTGCGGGTTCTCTAGGTCTACAGCATCCCTAATAACATGCACATGCCACACAAGACACATATAAGCAACATAAACACATGAATAAATACATGCACAGGCTTAATGAATTAAATCTAAGAAGAAAAGGGAACTGTCCAAATATGCTGAAGGACAAGCACAGTACAATACAAACATTTGTTCAGGCATACATGAGGGCATAACTCTACACCCACACTTATTTTGTTTGTAGTGCAGAGAAACTCACCAGAGCTGGCCCTCTATCCACTGGGACAGATAATGTCGCACCTCAATTGGGAAGTGCTGACCGTACAGAGACTGCATTTGGTGTAGAGCATCCCCCTGGAGCTGCTGGGCCTGGATCCAGACTGCCATCTTCAACACCCTTAAGATGAAAAAGGGGATGGCTATAAGTTAGAGAGCATAGAAGCAAAAGAATAAAAAAATGGAAGGATATAACCTGAACGTGATGAGGAAAACTGAACATTTAAGAACACAGAACATGAAGCAGTTATAAAACTTTCACTTTGAATTGACAGTTCATTAGCCCCCTCTCGTCAATAATGACTGTCCAATTAAGCCACAGAGCTTCCACACATAAAGCAGTACGGGTGCCTTTTATTAGCCTTTTGAAATCAAAAATATAAAAGCAAAAGTATGAGGAATGGTTCCGTGTGTTATCTAACTAACTTTCTGTCTACAGCGGTGATCGCTCATGCTGTCAAGGCCAAGGAGAACATAATTAACTATCTAAACTAGCTTGTGGGTACAGGGTAAGGTAAAAAAAAAGCCCAGTTCATGAAAAGCACTGGAGGCCAGTCCTGGGTGCTATTAGAGTTTAGGATAATGTTAGCAGCTCTGCACAGATTTTTATTAGACTAGATTAAGTTTACACTCCAGCAACCCTGCCAAAGTTAAACATGTGATTGCATTACCTTACATATGCAGTACCTTAAAACAACACACTGGTTAGACCTCATCACCAGCCTTCCCTTGGCAAACAGAGTTATTTTACAACAAAACAACTGTCTGAGGTTGCATTATTCTTTTTCATACTAGGAATAACTGGCTCTGTCTAGAATAAATTTCTCAGTTGTGGCATCATACATCATGAGTCAGGTGGAAACATTAACTGACAAAATTGACTGCTGTCAGCTAGAAATAAAAAATAAATGTCTCATTCTGTGTGAGATCAAAGACCCATTGTTATCAAAAATTTGTATTTTACAGATGTTTCTGGTTTCTCTCTATGACTGCAGCTCCAAGTCAAAGCGGTTGAGCTCGTCCTATGTCTTTGCTCTGAACAAGCTGAGGGCTCAAACAGGCTTCTCTGTGGAGCCAACAGCTCCAAATTGAGTGTTACTGTGTCTTGGTTGAGAGGACGTTGCGTTGGGTCACTGCTACTTGTTTCCAGTCAACACACCCACCCACCATTTTCAAAAGTGGCACAGTCACTGTCAGTAAGAGACTTAGCTATATGAGTTTGCGGGAAGTTGTGGTGTGTACATGTACATGTGTGTGTATTTGTAGGTGCTTGTGGTGTCAGTGGTTCTGCTTGACAGTTCACACATCATTTGTGTGTCAATGTAATTGCCAGAAACAGGCTAATACAAAACATCATATACAGAGCAATAAGGTGAATCTGATAAGAATAACAAAATTTTATCTATTGATCTACTGTATATCTCTCTGGATCAATTCCTTAATTATACCTCTAGTTAACAAAACACACAAGGCATTCTACATGCTGATGGTGCTCAACATGGAGAGAGATTTCCTTTCCTTTTTCTGTTTAGAACTTTCATTTTCAGTTTTCAAGAAGAGACATCTAGAACTAACTGAAGTTTACAGTCATTTGGGACAATGCATCTTGTAATGTGCATTACATAAGAACCAGGAAGCCACATTCCTGCACAAAAAGAAACTGCTCAATTTAATGAAAACACCACAACACTGTCACAAACTAACAAGCTATTATTCTCACCTCACCAGACAAAGCGTTTGCATGTGTGCATCACCTGTCATAGCTGCACATGTATAGTATGTCTGCATGTTGGCTGACTACGTTTATGTGCGCCAAGGTAAGATGAGCTCAGAAAAGAAAATTCCGCTATTTCCATCTGTAGACACTAATCCTACTGACCTATGCTAACGTACTGATATCACTCGCAGTATGTCATGAGCTTCAACCTTGCACCTTCTCTTTGTTCCTATCCACTGGGGACTTTAAAACAGTCAGATTTGTACTGCTATGATGGTAAATGTTACAGCAGCTCCGTTATAGCCCAAAAGCTTTGGTCCCTAAATCCTGGCAGAAGTCTTCAGTAAAGTGTGTACTGAAGTGACACCAACCATAGTTTGGCAGATGATATTTAAGGGATTTGGTCTAACACAGTAAAAGGACCTTTGTCTATAATGATCAAATAAAATGCAAAAAGAACTTGATGAATGTGGTAAGATTAAGTTAGAAAAAGTGTTTAATTTAACATATTATCTTGTAGTTATTTTGTAATTGGTATGTCTGACCAGACTCCGCAGACCCAAACGTATTGTGAGGGTCTGTTGGGAACGTTTAGCAGAATCCCCTGTCAGATAGATGTTCAACTCCCGCCTCCGGCAGAACTTTGACCAGATCCCGGGGGAGGCTGGAGATATTGAGTCAGAGTGGACCATATTCTCCACCTCCATTGTCGATGCGGCTGTTCGGAGCTGTGGCCGTAAGGTCTCCGGTGCCTGTCGTGGTGGCAATCCCCAAACCCGGTGGTGGACACCGGAAGTAAGGGATGCCGTCAAGCTGAAGAAGGAG